ATCAACTGGCCACTTTGGATTCAATTGACAACCGTGTCAAGAGGCTTCTAGGTGACTCGGAATTAGTGGAGGCGAAGCTGCAGAGCCTTGAACACCGCCGTAAAGTTGCCTGCTTATCGGTATTTTACAGGATATATCACGGAGAGTGTGCGATGGCATACACGATTTAATTCCGCCTTCCCCTTTCCATCATCCGGGACCAGACGTAGGCTTGGGTACCACCCCTATGTTGTGGATATTCCAAAGATTTGCACCAAGCGTTACGCTTCCACATTTATGTAGCGAACGGCTTGGAGTGGAATTCTCTGCCAGCAGACTTGTTGCCTGAACGTTATAACTTGGGCCTTTTCAAGGCGAGAGTGAATAGGCATTATTTAGGTGTGCGTGCTCCATCGTCGACCTCATCGTCAGTTTCCATCAGGTGAGATGATGGTCAAATGGGCACTTTTGTATCGCCAAGCAGTAATAGTGCTGGTGAATAAGCACATCGGATTTGTCAAGTTTATGTCTCAGGGTGACGGGTTCAGTGCCGGTGCCGCTCAGACCTCTGCGATTTAAAGTTTTTATTGACGCAGCAACTGTTAAGGGTAGGCGTGTCACTTACCACCAGGCGCACGACTTGTTCGTTCGATGACATCCCTACACTAACTGGGAAAAGAGCTGAAAACCTTTAAAAAGCTTAGCACAAGTTCTTAAAACATAAATAAATTAGCCTTCAAATTCAAATTCGGGTTAAGATCAGTTCAACCGCTTGGGAGGCGCGTCAACGCAGACTGACATACTGACAAACAGGCACACAGATACACAAAAAAGGCTTCAAACTTATAACTCCCTTTTTTACGTCCGGTTTACAAATTCGATGCAAAGGAGTGAGACGAAATACTCTACATACATTAAACACTAATAACGTGAGAATACGAGGGCGGTTTCATAAGTCATAAGTCGTCGTTGAGAAGAAAATCATTTTCTTTTTAATTACGGTTTATTTTTCTACATGGGATGTCCCAACTTACTTCAACCCATCAAAAAAACTGTTTTTCGTCAAGTACGAAAAATAATCCTCTGTTTCAGATACGACTTTTTTAATTTTGATGCAAAACAGTAAAAAAGTCAGATAAAAAGTCAAATAGGGCAAATCTGGTGAGTACTGGAGATGTGGCAATAGTTCGTATTCGTATCATAATTCGACAAGTTTCGATTTTCGATTGCAGATGGAAAATAGAATACTCGAAAATCCGTTTTCTCCGTCTTCAAAAAATACAGCTTCCTCACCAACTTTTTATTTCGAATTTACTTTTTTAAATTCGCGCTAAATTAACGCGCTAAATTTATAAAAAAGTAACGTCAGTTGCTTAGTGAGGAGTTCTAAATTAAGAAATAAAAACGTCACGTATTTATCAAACCGCAATCGTACATTATACAGGGTGGGAAAATCAATGCGACGTGAAGGGGAAGCAGGTACCTTAAATGCTTAAGATAGCTAATTTTACTTGAAGAAAACAAACATTCTTTTTTTCTTTTCATCTAAAGAACACCAACAATCAGTAGCATTGCCATGAGTTTAGTATAGCGACAGTTTTACGGAGTCGACAGCAACCGTGGAAAATATTGGTACAGATAATCGTAGTTCTTCAAGTGACCGCTAGGGGAGCTGTCACAGGCGTAGTCTGTGAGTGAGACAAATATTTCATGCGATCTGTTATATCCCAGCCCTACTACCTAAACTACTAGAATCAGCCCTGCCATTTCTCCTAGTCAACATTCTTCTTTGAACATCATAAAAAAAACTACATAGAAAGCAGCTCAGTTCCTTCCAAACTCCTGTCGTGTAACACGTGCCAATTAAATTTCCATTTCTTATAGGTACTATTTCTTTATTCTATTGTACTTAAATGACCACTTCTTCCCGAATTACACAATTTCGGGAAAATTGAGTTTAAAAAAAAAAGACTTACTACGCCCCGTATAACAGATCGCTAGCAACTGTATTAAGAATTATCGTCACCTTTTCAGTAGTCCTGAAGTTTCATGAAATGGTTCGGTATGCATTTTCGTATTATTTTAAAACTTTAGTTTGTATACACATATACGGAATAAAAAAGTATATTCGGAACTGTCGTTCTTGATTTTTCTTTTCTACTCGTTAGGATCTGTTTTTAAAAGATCACGTTTTACATGCACATAACAAAAATGGAAGATAGTTTTATTGTTTTTAAAGTGTGAACATGACATTTTATTGATTTTAGTCTTCTCAAAGGCATATAACCGTTGCAGCATCAATGATACAAGGTAAAAGTTTTAGTCATGAAAAGAAAAAATAATACGATTAAAGAGGCAGCTGACTATATAACAAACAAGTTTCCAATGAAACTATTATCAATTTTAGTGTAATTTAGACAGTGTAACAACTGTAACTGGAAAGTTAAGTATTTTAACAAATACATCAACAATATCGAAATTTTGTCTATAGGTACTCATAAGCTGCAAGTACCTGCCGATGGATATTTTGTTAGAAAATGATTGCAACTATATTGTAAGCCAGAAAACATATTTTTAAACAATATATTTTCCTGCATTTCGAGATAAAAAATTAAGTTCATATTTCTCCGTACGAAAGAAACTAAAGTGTTATTTTTTTAAACTATCAATTTTTCTATAAATTATACAAAAAATGATAAAAAAGTTTTCAGAGCTATCATTATTTATCAAATAAAAACAATCAGCTCGGTATTCCACAAACTATAATATTTCTAAGTCCAAGAGTTATCAGCCTGGTTGGTAGGTCAATGGTTTCCACTTACTACATATTTGTCACATGTCATCTTTTTAAACCTACTGTTGATAAATGATGACAATTCCGACAACTTTTGTTCTTGTGTTTAGAAATAAAAAATGTTTAGTTTTTTTTGTAATGACAAATATACATCAAACAAAAAAAATATAGATAAAACAAAATTTCATTTTATTTTTTTATTTAATTGATATTCAATTTTTTTTGTGAAATTATTCCATTAGTTAGTTATAATTAGATATTAATACAAAGATCAAACACTCAGAAATTTCCTTCGATCCGGCCGCATTCGAACCGACGTCTTCTAGCTTACCGTGCCAGACGCTATTATCTAGAATTATAGGAAAAAGTATATGATTTGCTTACAGTATAGTTCCAATTATTCTTTCCCAAGAAAAAATAAATCCATCTGCTGGTACGTAGGTACTTACAGTTTAACGAGTAAAGAGGCGCCAAAATTGCAGTTTTTTAACACCTGACGGAAAAAGGGGAGTTATAATTAAGTCAGCGAAGCCTTTGTCTGTGGAATCGTGGTTCCCAAACGGACTTTCCCAAATCTTAAAGTGGTTTGATCCTTTTATTTAAAAGCTAATTTAATCAAGATGGTTCTACTTCGAACTACCTACATTTGATGACCACCTGCTCAACTGTTTAAAGATCATGTATTTTCTCAGTTTGTAGCATTGACTTACAATTATATGGACGTCGGGTCCGCGCTAAAAAGTGTCCGAACTTATAGGTCGTTAAAATCGTATACAGAGCGTCATTCACGCTTTAGTCTTGGTTTGTTCGACTGACAGCAAAGCAAGCAATATTAGACAGTACTGCGATGACATTACAATTTAAATTCAACGTTTTGGCTTTTTCATATTCCTTTACATGTCACTACGTTTAAATAGGTTGACTTGAGACATTTTTTTTCGTGGTTTTTGTATTAGACCCGTCGTCCATTTATTTGTAAGTCAATGGTTTGTATAGATATCTCAGTCATAAAATATATATTTATTTTATTTCACCTTGCCCAATCGATTTGAAATTTGTTATCCTACTATGGAAATCGATGAAGTGGTAACCTTAGTCTAATGTTGCCACCAGGGCAATCTGCGGACTGCCCAACTTTTATCAACTAGTTGCACCAGAACTATCATGTTTGAACTGATTCAAATGGGCTCGACGAGTTGTTGCTTACAGATCGGGGCGAGTGCTAAAGGGAGCAATATTCAGGATTTCATATCACGAGAACTATCCGACGGTTTTTTATATTAAACTTCGAATTCTGTGCAATGGGGGACCTTATTAGGGTGCGTTCCCACGAAACGGGCGGCCTCGGGCCGTGCTGACTCTCGTGGCGACGTGTATTCGGGTTTGCATCGAAAGCATAGGCTTAGCTTAGGCTTTAGCGCCTTCGCGCCGCGCCTATGAAGTTACCGAACAACGGCCGAAAAGGCCGTCACGGACGAGCACGGGCGCGCTCGGGCGGCCTTCTTCCCACGGCACGTTTGTGCGAAACGAGAGGCGCGGGCAGCGAAACGGATCACGGCCATGGGAAACCGCCTTTACATAAACCCCTAATAACAAATTACAAGTATTCACGCAAAATAGATTTTGAGGTATAGTGGATCGAAAATAACCGTAAATGTTCGGTGCAAATGTGTTAAGTGCACTAAATAAACTTCTCCCTGCGGCAATTTTAAGCGTTATCCAGAAACAATTTTTGGTTTAATTTTTCAATCAGTTAGATAGGCCGACTGTCTCGTGTAATCGTGTGTTCACATTAATTGCATTGTATCCAGATGTTTAGTTTTGTGCACAAAAACGGCCCTAGTTACCTCCAGGCTAAAGATTAATAGTTATACACTCTATAGATCTGTAAACAAGTACACGTTGCACACTGAGCGAAACTCGACTCTGAGTCACAAAGAAAATTTAATTAAATTACGTAATTTGCATTAAACTATTGTCGGCCATCAAGGTCAACCGGCCATTAAATGATAAATCACAGACGTGAAGTACGTTAACGAAAAACTAGAACAAGTTCCGTACCATTTATGTACAAAACGACACACGACACGTGACATTGACCATAAACGCAAGCGAACGTGAAACACAATTAATGTAGTAAAACATTTACGTAATTGATCGGGTGTCCCATGAGTGGTGCGGAACCCCAATAAACGAGTTTGGCATCGACCAGTCAAGTTTTCCATGATATTACGACAGTGCTCGGCTTCTCGCGACCGTCTTCACCCGCTGCTATATTAACAATAATCATTCAAAAACTTTCTCGCATATCTGTTGCAATATCCTTTATAGATAGACATAAGATATCCTTTATCGGTAATCAAATCTCTCGTCGGCCACATCAAGATACACGACAGCAGTTTCTGTCAGATCGTATTGTCGACACGTCTCGGACTAAATCTTTGGGCTTCTTATGGCAACGTTGGAAATGAAAGGTAGGTACATACAATTTTAAGAGTTATATAATTTTAAGGTTATTAGTGTCCCTTACTGTATACTTCTACTAACACTGAACATTAACACGATTTGTCAAGTGCAGTCGGGGAAAGCTCCTACAATTGGTTGCTGGCGACATTACCTTGCGGTTTCACCTCCTTTTTTCCTCTTTTTCTCAAGTAACAGAAACTAAAAACAATGTGAATAACTTAAATCAAATCCACAAATCATAAATGTTATTCGTAATAGGTAAGTGTGTTGTGATACGAGTGTACACATAGGTACCTATACTATTTACACATTATATCCTCGTACGCGGTGCGCGTAATGTAAAGCATTAATTACATTAGCCAAATCTTGACCTTGGCCATGTCTTCAAATGAATAGAACATGGTTTTTGCACTCACTTTAATCACTTAACTGAGACACTGAGATCATCGTCATTGCTTTTATCTCCTTTAGAGAAATCTATCACAAACCCGACAAACGTCAAGGCTAATGTCAAAGACCTTTTGGCAGAAATTATTGATCGAACGTGGATGACGTAATGTACTTGTTTATTTTTAGCAGTACGTAGTCTTATGATATAATATGCTACGCGGAAAATGCAGAAAGAATACCAGTGAACCGTCCACATGCACTGAATTAAAACTTAAAAGCGTAATAGTTATAGTTTTATAGGGTCAATGTAAAGGAACGACGTGCATCCTGCGTGGTGAGCGAACGAACGAGTAGAAAGCTTCAACGGGCTTCGCAGCGCGACTTGATGTCGAAGTGTCGCAAGGACAGTGTGAATGTGGATCTGGACGACATCTTGCGCGAGCTGGGGCCATGGGGCGCGTTCAAGTACCGCAATTACTGCCTCATCATCCTGCCCATCATATTTAGCGCCATCTACAATGGACAGTACGTCTTTAACGCCGGGAAACCTAACTATAGGTGTGTACAAAAAATACTCCACATTTTGTACGAATTATGTCCTAATAATAACCGGATTCTCCTCACGTACCTACGTACGTACCTACCTCAGCCTTCATATGGACCACTAAGTCGTCTATGGACGTCCACGTATTAGTGACATCGCGGTATCCTTGCTCGTCTTTTCAGATGTCTGGTGCCGGAATGCGAGTCATCCCCGCCAATGTGGACTCCCGAGGAGTGGGGGCAGTGGGCTCTGCCGGGAGGGGACCTGAACAGTTGCGAGCGGCGCGTGCCCGTCAATAGCACCTGCAAGGAAAATTCTTTCCTCAACAGTACACAGCAATGCACCAGTTGGGTCTACGAGACCAACAACACCATCGTTGCTGAGGTCAGGTTCTGGTACTTCAATCTAGTAAACTAAATTCCATACTGAAACTTCACTTTCAAATTTCATAAAATTGTTTTCCTGATCCAGTTCGACCTGGCCTGCCAGGAGTGGAGACGCACGCTGGTAGGCTCCATCCACAGCGCCGGCCTCTTTACTGCGCTTCTATTCATCGGATTTATTTCAGACACGTGAGTTCAGTATTGATCTTCATCTATCTCACATTAAGGCTTATCGCGGATGCGTATACAAAAAGTGTAGGTGCAAGATTCGATGCGCTGTGTTGGCAGAGTGGGGCGGCGCCACACGTTCATCATAACGGCGACGTTGCCGGCCGTGGCGGGACTGGTGCGCGCCTACTCTACCAGCTACTCAATGTACGTGGCGCTCGAATACTTCGAAGCGCTATTCGCCTCGGGCGCCTACACCACCGGTTACATTCTCGGTACTTCCTGACTAAAGCTTCGTATATTCTTATCGAATCGAAAGTAGAACAATAACAACTCGGATTTTGTTTCAGCGCTTGAAATGGTTGACCTGGACAAAAGAGTTATAGCAGGCAATGGTATGTCCATGTGCTTCGCGACGGGTCAAATGCTACTGGCCATATTGGCGTGGATGTTTCCTTACTGGCGGACTTTGACAAAAGTGTTATATGTGCCGTCTTTTTTCTTTATTTTTTATTACTTATTTCTGGTAGAAAGTGTACGATGGTTGCTAAGTAAGGGGAAGAAGATGGAAGCGGCACGTATTATTTTTAAAGCAGCTGCCGTTAATGGCAGACAACTGTCGGAAGAGACAATCCGACAGCTGACGACTGACAGTCAAACGTCGCAGAAGAATGTGAAAAAACAAGAACTTGGCAAAGGGCGATTACGACGGCTGCTGTGGCTGGAAGTGCTGCAGTCGCGCATCTTAATGACACGGCTTGTCATTTGCTCATTCTGGTTCATCTCTGTTACATTTATCTACTACGGACTGTCTATCAACTCCGTAACGCTGGCGGGCAATATGTACATCAACTACGGGCTCACGGCTGTGGTGGAAATCCCCGGCTACATCATCAGCATCATGACCCTGGATCGCTTTGGCCGCAAGCACTCCATCATCACCGCTTTTTTCGTCTGCGGCGTGGCACTCATCGCAATGCCTTTCACCACCAGTGAGTATTCTGTTCAACTAGCGCATAAAATTGTCAAAGTCAAATAATCCTTTATTTCATAACAAAGCTTGGCAAATAGATATCATTCTATGGATGTCCACGATTATGTGATCGGTTTTTTTTATAAAAACGTTATTTTCATAGTTTTATTGGTTCTCCATACAAACTTTCATCCCCTATTTCACCCCCTTTAAGATTTATTTTTGTGACAAAAGTGTGCTTGTAACAAAAGTTTTGTAACATACAATATTAAGTTTATTTAATACATATGTTAAGTTTACTATTTCCTAAGTTTAAAACTTTTATTAAAAGTATTTTAATTGAAAAGTCATATTACATAATCTCAGTACAGAGTACTAAAAAAACCGACCTCAAAAGTACATTGAATTACGTCTATTTGCTAAGTTTTATTGAAATATCCTTAAATTCGCCACTATACAGGACTTGACGCTGGAGTTAACAAAAATCGGTTCTCACTACTCAAAGTGTATGGAGAGAAAAACGCCTTGGATTGGAAAAATAGCAAAATCAACCATTAAAATAATTGCTCCTTAGTAAAATTTAGGTGCTATTTATAAAAATGAATCTTCACGCGTGAACAGCCACCCGTCGAGGTGGATGATTTTCTTCAAACTGAAATGGGACCACTATGGATGTACCCCCTTTCCAACAAAAAAAGAATCATGAAAATCGGTTCACAAATACCGGAGTTATCGCGTAACATACATACAAAAAAATCGAATTGAGAACCTCCTCCTTTTTTTTTCATTCAGACTTTTCATTCACTTAACATGAGTACAAAAACAACTACAACAGTACTAGTACAGTTGAAATATCCAACGACAAAGATTGGGTATTAAAATTATTCTACATGAAGTGGGCAGTTGCTTGTTTAAATATGTGTATATATATATATATATATATATATATATATATATATATACATATCTTTGTTAATTGTGTATTATATATATATCTTTGTTAATTGCGTATAGCAATATTCACGTTATCGATTCAACCAACTACTACTACTACAACTGTTTTGTTCGTTACATTAATTTTATTTTATGTTATTCAAGTAGTGTTAAATTTTTATTATTAATAATATTATTTTATTTAGGAATATTTCAATGACTGTGTTTTAAGCAATCGCTTGAACGTCGTTATTGTTTTTGATTCTCTTATGTCTTTTCATAATTTGTTATAAATAGTGAAACCTTCATTTAACAAACATTTTTTCCGTAATTTGTACGTGCAGGGCGTATTTTAAGTTCTTTGTGAAGTCCTGGTCTCAAGTTTGATATTTGCTTAGTTTTGCTAATAGTTATTTCAGTATGTATAGTTTTATTTAATATTTTACGAACTAATATGCAAGTTTGATATTTGTATGTTGGCTTAATATTCAATAACTTGGTATCTTTGTATATTTTATTTGTTGATGTTAAATGATCATAATGAAAAAAATACTTTAAAGTTTGTTTTAGTATTCATTATATAACGTTTATAATCTGAATAATTATTGCTTCTTGCACAGCAACATCTTTGCGCGCGTCATGTCAACAAAATATAAAATAGTGTGCAGCAATAATGTAGCAAGTAGATAAGCGAAGTGGCGATGATGTCGACAGCGCGCGAGGCGGTGCAGCTGGGACTATCGCTGATCGGCAAATTTGCGTCGAGCATGGCCATCAGCGGCATCTACGTCTACTCCCTGGAGATGTTCCCCACGGACTCGCGGCACGGGCTGCTGGCTATCTGCTGCCTCTCGGGTCGGCTAGGGTTACTCTTGGCGCCCTACTCACCATTACTGGTCAGTTGCTAAAGAACTCCCCTCCAACATTCACCCCGTCCCAATAAATGTTTATTCCATTCACACCGCTACACAGCAGGCGTGAGATCATTGGTAATCATCGGGAAGGAGTTTATCAGCGCGAGATTCTCGGGGTTCGTAAATGTGTACGTGATTTAGCCGTTCCCGGCACAGGCGCATCTTCGCGCGTCGGTAGGTCAATCTTCCACAAAGAAGTGGCAACAACCTCGGCATAAGTAATACTAGAAACACATCCTTTTGGATATACCATACTTTCTTGTAGGAATGCGGGCAACTCGCGAAACGCTGGGCTAAAATCGAAATTGACGTCGCGACTTCATACACGTACACGTTGTGAACAGATGCGAGTGAGCCCGTCGCTGCCGTACCTGGTGTTCGGCGTGCTGGCGTGGTGCGCGGGCGCCCTGATGCTGTTCACGCCCGAGACGCTGCGCGCGCCTCTGCCGGACACCGTGGCGCAGTCCGAGCAGCTGGCCGCCTCACCCACGCCCCGCCCACTCGCCAAGCACTCGAAGATCTTTCGTACGGCTTAACTCTGTTCCCGTCTGCTGTGTTGCCGTCGACGGGCCAGTATACATACAGCGACATGTCCGTTTCAGGGCTAATCCAAGGCTACGCTACGAAGTAGTATTGAACCGAAGTATCGTAGTCGCTCGAGGACCAATTAATTAGTAAGGCAAAATGCATTTAGTGATATTTTGATAACATTTATAATGCGTAGGTACCCATTGTTGATCAACATATTACCTTTTCATTATATAAGTAATTATATTAGCATTCGTTTTTATTTTCCTTTCGGAATCCATATAATTTCATAGTGTTCGAGAAAAACCGTAGCCAAAGCTGGCTCCCGTCTATTCTGCCCTCGGAACGAAAAAGGGCACAACTGTCGTATAAAGTACGCATAGTTGTGCCTTTTTTCGTTACGAGTGTTAACATTCCTTTCTTTTTTTTAATTTAAAAGAAAAGGCACCCATCTACCGGAAAAACTGGTCTGCTTGATTCACTAATAGTAACCAATTAACGAGTAAACTCGTGAAGTTGTCGTAGTCCAGCATTAAGCATGTTAAATATAACGGTCGGTTAATGCCTCATTAAACAAGTATTGGCAAAAAATCCCTCTAGACGCGACAATAAAAACAAAGAAAAACAAACCTTCCTTTTATAGGGTCACAGATTAGATATGAACCTTCGATGTGTGGAAATCAAAGAACTACTTCTTGTACCGACAAACCTTAACGTGAATAATTATCGCCGACCATTTCCGGGGCCAGGGCCCTGTTTATAATTCATATCGGAATAGATCCGATCGGGCAGCCCATCCGCAATATTATACGCCTCGACTCGAAAAAGACGCAGTTTCCGATCGGGAGAGGCAATCAAAATCAAGCTACAGGTATAACTTGTCAACCTTTGTCCCACACGCACAATATAGCAGAGAAACACTTGTTTATTTAACATAATAATTGTTTTATTTAATAATAATATCCTTAAACGTTTTATGCACAGTCAACGTGAATAGAACAACATCTACTTGTAGACTCGTCAGAGCACAGTGCGTACATGTACATAATACATTACATACACTATTACAATCCGTAAAATTTAGCTTGATTGGAATGACACATGTCAAACTATGTATATGAACCTTAGAGGAAGAAAAAAAATAAAGGAAAGGAGCTGCCTTATCTACGGAATAAACGTCCCTACCTAAACCAAAAATGTCCACCACAAATGGCGGAATTAGTGTTGTACCATAAACATAGATAAATCAATATCGACATGCAAATGTATGGCTTGAATGTTGAAACTGTTTTTTATGTTTGCAAATTTGTACAGTTTACTGTAATCAAAGTATGATTAAGACTAGGCTATTATTACTAGGCAAGTAATGAACCATTTTAATCAAAATTACATATAAAGTTATTTACCAATAAATGTAACTATGGAATTGTATTATGAAGTAATCTAGTTACATTCAAAGTTACATTTCAATTTGAATGGAGCGAACAAAAGTAGATGGTATTTGATCCAATGTTTATGTTCGGCAGTCCTATAATTTCCAACCATTCTTTTTTCATTTGTAGGTAAACTTTGAAAATAATAATAATGAAATAATAAAAACCTCGTAGTGAATTGTTTCGATAACAGAATATCAATAATATGTCTGCTTACAAGAACTATCTCAAAATAATCGTTATCAACAATCATCAAAATATACTAACAAAGAGGCAGTCTAAAGTAACCAAAGCAAAATTCGGCAAGACTAATGAATAAACTACTTAAATGAGTCTAATTACATGAGACATTTCGGCTATTGTATGATTTATAGGCAGAAAAATAACACATGCCAGTGTAATGTAAATTTCGGTCGATTTCCGCTTCTTTTACTGCCGCACCCCGTAATGCTGCAGCTACGCATTTTCATCAATACTTAATTGTTCTCACTGTCAATATTTTTGTCCATTTCATTACAATTCATACGTATAATTCATTAAAACTTTGGCCAAACATTGGTTTTGACATTTGATGTACTTCCCTTTGACAACCGGGTACGGAAGTCAAAGGGTACCCCAAAAATGGTAAAATGAGGACAGTTGGCATTTAAGATGACGTTACGTATTTTCGATTCCCGTGTTTGACACACACCAATGTAATGCTATCTCTTTTGGCGTACGACGACACATAGTAGTTAAACAAAGACAGTAAAATGTATGTTTTCACCATCTAAATGCATCATGTACATATAACGTCTGATTTATATATGTCAATATAACATGTTCTTTAGTTTCCATAGTCTAAGATACGAACCCAACAATGGGACACGATCAGTGAAATAAGAATTAATGTTAAAATATATCGACTGACGTGTCAGGAATGACAAATATGTATATTTAAACCGGTGTTACAATATTATGACAATAACAGAAATCAAATAAAAAATCCACCCCGCGGCCACTATTTGTTAATTTTCCGTTTAAATTACGTAAATGTAACCGAGCTTATAACAGTATATTGGTACACACTTAGAATATAACGCATAGAAACCTAGTCCGCACACGCTAAGTGAGGCAAATTGAAGCGCGCCAAAAGGGCCTACACGAACGGGCGGGCCTTCAGCGCTCAAGGTCAACTTGCACCGCGAACAGCTCCAGAATTTTAGCTAAAAATGACGAAATGTGCGGTAAATGAGTGTAAAAATACGTCAGACAAACATAAAATAGATTTAACATCACATTCCACAAGGAAGTAACGCGTTTCAACTTGTATTTTTATATAAATATTCACTAAAACCGAAAATTAACCGACTACTAAAAGTAGCCTACATGAATTTGATTTTTGCCTCACTTGGGGCAGTTCGTTTGATATGAAACTATCATTCTATGCGTTATTATTCTAAGGGTACACATTGACTAAAAAATTCACCAAAATACGTAATCCAACAAAAACGTACCCGAAAATAATACGAATATTTTTGAAAATTACCGCCAAACGATATCTGGACTAGATGAGTTGATCGGCTCTGCGTTTTCAACGTGTCTCACCACAATTTTTTTCCGTCAGCAGTAACTTCAATGTGTGGAGATATGAAAATAAACATCAATAATATTTCTTAATGAAACAGTAATTTATATTTTTTTTCCAATTATTCGTATGGTTATTGAGTGGCAACGTAAATATATAAAATAATTGTTATTGCGTGATGTTAAAAAACTATTTTTTAGGGCGCTGCTACAAATTTGCCTCATCTTAATTTTGCCGAGCCGTCATTCTAACCAAGCCAAATTTTACGGGGTTTAGTTGATATTATTTTTACGGCTTGGCATCTGCTATGTCACAAAATGGCGTAGAAACAGCAGAAAAACAACAAATAACGACGAAGTACGAAAAATTTTAAACGTTTCACCTGTTTATGACCACAATAATGAAAACAAGTACAAAATCACAGCTGTATATTTTTAACAACTTTAAGTTGAATTTCAGCGCAAGGGAGTCGAGCCGTAATCCATACAGACACGTTTATTTCATTTTTATTGCTCATTGAAAGACGCCATTATGGTTCGTGACGCAGCAGATTGCCCGAGCTGTATCAACGCTTCATAGTTTGTCACGCAAATAGACACGTATAAGTAGAACGTTCGTCAGGAACCACCACTTCGATTCACATAATACAAGCGACTAGTTTTGACGAACGTTTATTTCTTTGCAAGCGAAGGTACATTTGGTAACAAGTGATTACAAGTACGAAGTTATAGATTACATTTAAAATTTCAATATTATTACAAGGAACTAAGACGCACGATAAATACACTTCTATACATTGGTCTCGGAACGCACTTTACACGATTATCATACAATGGAATAATTATGTAACAGAGTCATCGAACACTTCGTATACCTCTCAACATTTCGTCTCTCTTCAACATTGAACACTGGAAAGGGGCAGGTGTGTTATACCATACTTTTTTTGCGACGATTCAAAGAAAATTATTGAAATGTTGTCTAGCTACATACACGAGTATAGGGCTCTAAAACATCTGTCAACATCGTCAGATTCAGTTATGTACACAAGATAGAAAAATATATAATCTTTTGCGTAAGTTACAAATAAGTTATACAAGTTGTACATTTCACTACGAATCATTCGAGTTGGATCACTCCTTGATAATCAGCAAACATTTTACATCCATTGCTTGCCCTCTAAAAAAATGGATTAATCGATTTCTCAAATAACAAGCCATGGACTATATATACTTCACTAGTGAACTGTCGACTTTGAACATTAAATATAAATCACAATAAATTGCGTCTTCTATTATTAATCTTACACCATTTTCATTATCTAATTACACATTCTTTATTCACATAGTAACGGAACGATCTAAACGTTTGTCCATTGATTTAACGACAACAAACGTAATTATTGTAGAAGTCATTATGAAATTATTGCTAATGAATATCCTTTCATCCCCCAACCTTTAAACTTTAAAACCGTATCACCCTTCTTTTAAGTATTAAGACTGCGATAATTTACAACTACTTGGGAAAATACACCACATCCAATCTCAAAATACATAATTAACCTATATTTATGGTTTTAAACAATAAGTAACAAAATGTATCGGCTGCCCAGCGGAATATGGACTCTTTCAACACGTCATCGTTTGAGATCGAAAGGTATTTTCGTAAGGTCAGTAGAGAAACTTGGAGTTTAAAAATTTCGCAATAGAATCCATATTCACTAGTTAGTCTTTAAATTAACACCAAGAAATATGTAGCAAGGTGTAATAAAAAACGTTCCAACACCTGAATATCAGCCGTACATATGAAATGACTTTCAAGGGACAATTGATATTTTAAAATTAATTATATTCTTATGAGTCGTGAATAAAGCAACTATAGTCGGACTTTTAATTAGCGAAAGCAAACAAGTCAGTATATAATAAAGCTGGCATCATTATTTTTCGAAGTGACATTAGCAGCAGTCAGCTTGCTTTTGTAATTAAAAATCCGGCTATACACGTCGATTACGCGAGTCGCTCATTGCCCATCACTTGCAAGGAGGGTCCAAGCACAACTTGTCAACCTTTACTCAAATCTCGATTACAATTCAAGTGAATCGCCAAAGTTTCACTCTGAACTGAACGCTCGGGTCGCTTAAGATTTCTTGTGCGTCTCAAATAGGACGATTTCTCTGTCGGCGCGAACGTGTCGGATGTTTATTACACTTATAATGAAGTGTGTGGACGGGACAATGCAATCATTGCAATTTTATACTTACATAAGCGAATACGTCTGCTCGTATCTGTAAATATTCAAAATTTGCTACGAGCCGTTACTTTGTTTATGAAAGTTTTACGGCAATAAATTAAAAAGAACGGCGTGCACCTGCTAGTGAGGTTACACAGAAATACGATAATGTGTACCAGACTAAAAAAGAAGTGAACACGCAGCTGGTTACATTGTTTGCCTTCATTCCTTGTGAAGGATAAATTGCACCGGCAAGTTTTGGGTAGTCATCGACGCGGACTATATTAACAATCAAAAACGCCCAAAACGTAAACAAAGAAATGTTATGTAATGTCATTGTCAAAGTGTGAATGCAGGTGTGCTAAGCCGTCTATTTTCAACGGAATTCGAAAGAGGTTCTCATTTTCTACAATTTTAATTATCTATTACAAAATAGGAGCACTAAAGAGTAGAGTTTAGTAGTAGAATTCCTTGTGAAAGAATTTGTCCAGGGAAGTACTGCCACCTTACCTACTTCTGCCGCCAAACAGTAGTGTTAGTATTACTACGTTCCGGTTTTGAAGGTTAAGGTTGTTGGTGAAATTACAGGCACATGGAACTTGTCAACTTATGTGTCAGGGTGACGGGCGCAGTGGCAGTGCATCCGTAAGTGGCACTGTAACTGTTATGGACAGGTGTGCAGGCTTACCATCCGTCACTTGATATTTAAAAAAAAAGAAAAACTTTAACAGCAACATAATCATTTAACAAGCGCACTACGGAGACAAGAAGACATTCGAGTTCGAGAAACGAAGCAAGAATGACATCTATGACACCACACAATGGCAGTATAAAAAATGTTTTTGATCCCGATTGTTGTTGTTGTTACCGGTGTCATAAAATTATTTACTACCTTAAACATAGTATTTTATTGTAATTGTTGTATTTAACAAAACTAAGTATAAATTTATAAATAGCAAAATGTAAATCGTTCTAAGTTTTATCAGATTTCAGCTCGAAAAGAGCTGTAAACGTTTATTATCGTTCAAAATAGGAAACTACCATTTAAAATGTTTTTTTTGCTCGTTTGCCCCTTTGTTTACATTTTGGATATCTAATTATGATTATCAACTGACAAAAACGCGCTGTTCGACGCGCACCAGTCGCATGTAAACTTATCTTTTTGCCGATCACTAAATAAAAGGTAACGATTAAACCGAAGCGAATCACAGAAACGCAGAACACAAACGGTGTTTACTATAATATAATCAACGTTTGATGAGTGAACAACGCATCGCCTAAGGTCCATCGCATACGCGGTGCTTTCGGTTACGGGTACGCGATTGCGAAACTGGACTTAGCACATTTGTACGCGACAAACGTGCCAAGCAGTCGTGGGCAGTCTGAGGGCAGTCGCGGCGTCGGGCGTCCGCACTTCGCAGTCGAGTAGTCGGCGATCGCCGCTACAAGTGTGGCGCGTGCAGTGGATCTTAGAACGGCGTGTAACTTAACAATGTTGCGTCAATTCCGAGGCTTCGGTAAACATCTGGAACTAGTAGCCGGTCACGTAAAGCGCTCTAAGTCTCAACAGTCGCTATATTGACAAGCCGTCGGCTCGTTCGTCTGCTGCCTACGTAATATACGGTTCGCTTATTTTTTTTAATTGAAATCTGTCGTTCGTAAAGTCCGAAGTTTGTTTTATTCAGCGACGCACCGCCGTCGGTTCAATTTCCGTCGGGCGCTCAGGTTGCCGGTTCGCGCTCGGCGGAAACGACACGTTCGAAAGACGCCAAGAGCAGTAAACAATGCGAATATCACCGAAGCGTAAAACCGTGGCAGTCCGGCTGCACGCGCCGCTACGCCTCGACGGCGGTCCGCGGCGGCGCCGGGCCCCGGCGGGAGGCGGCACCTGCGGCAGACAGCGCGATGAGCGAGGGCGGCCGCGGGGGCGGGGCGGGGCGGGGCGGGCGGGCCCACCTGCGCCGGCCGGCTCGGGCGCGTATCAGAGCGGCAGCGGCAGCGCGGGCGCGTGCGGCTGCAGCTGCAGCGCGGCGGCGGCGGCGTCGGCGGCCGACTGCGGCTCGCCCAGCGCCTGCAGCACCAGCGCCAGGCGCCGCCACGTGTCGGCGCGCAGCGGCGCCAGCGACGCCGCCTCGCGGAACGACTTCTCCGCCAGCCGCAGCCAGCCCAGCTGGTAGTACGCCGCCCCTGACGACACCCGAAATATGTAGCATAATTAACATTTATTTTAACGCAATTAGAGCTTTTAAATTTGATGCGTCTTGTTGCGCGTTGTTTTTTATGTTAATATTCTCCAATAATTTCTAACGCGTGGTCACCTCAAAATAGTAAACAAAAATAACGATCGTCGCCACGTTGTCTAGATGCCTAGCCGTCAGCGCGTCGCGCCGTGTGACGACATACCTAAATGCGCTAACGCATATCGCATGTTAGTTTAGTACTTTGTTGTCATCAAATACATAAGCTCGCACGCCGACTCCACCCACTGCTCCACATCGTTCTTGTTGCTATAGCAACGGCATCTATTAATTATTGGTTGTCAATATTGTTTCCAATTATTTGAAAACTTTGAGACGTCATAACTTATTTATTTGTTAAGTATTTGAAAAAAAACCGAACACGTATTTTTTCTTTCCATTAAATGTACAGTATGCTCTTTTGAAATGCTCAGTGGTTTTTTATCACGCTGTATATAGACACGCTCAAAAAGATAACAAATAATAATTACGAAATTGAAAATATAATAAAACTCAAGTAATTTTTTTTTAATTTTGACATTCTTAAAAAAAGTATGTCACAAAGTAACTTTCTTTGAATTGCTTATTTTGACAGAGGATTACTAAGAGTAGGGAATGGCAAAACGTTCTATTTATTTTAAATTTCTCATCAAGCGTGTTCATTTAGATGCATTGCTTTAAGAATAGGTAAAAGCTAGTGTGTAAATGAATACGACGGAAGTGTGATGTGAAATCAGCTTGTAAAATTTGTATAAACAATCAATTCTTTGCATTTCAGTCAGTTTGTTCTTTAAGAGCGGTGGTATATGGCGAATTTTAGCTGCGATGCGAACGCGATGCAGGAGCTAATAGTCTAGCGCGTTAGTATCGATGCCGTCGCGCGTTTGTATCAGTGCGATCGGCTGCAAGTGTAGCGATGCAGTTGCGCGATAGCATCGCCGCTAAAGGTCGCAGCGCGTGTAACCACCGTGAGGCACGAGTATGAGAAAGGAAGTAAAGTAAGGAAAGCCGCCCGCGGCTCCGGCGCCGGAAGCGGCAGGGAGGAGCTCACCCAGCTGCACGATGGTGTCCAGGTGCGTGGGGTGCACGGCCAGCGCGTTCTGGAAGCACAGGCGCGCCTCCTCCCACTCGCCGCTGGCCGCGTGCACCTGGCCGCGCTGCGGAGGCGAGGGCGTCAGCGCCGGCGGGGCGGAAGGCCACGCTGCGGGGCGACGAAGCTTTGCGGCGGCTACGGCGCCGAGTTCTGCCGTTGCTTTCATAGTAAGCCTGGCATGTGCAGGACGCACGAGCTTCGTCGCCGCGCAGCGTCGTATTTCGCGGTAGACCTCCGGGTTTCGCGTCCGCGGCCGCGCTCCGCCGCGATAAGTGCAAACGCGCCGTTATCCTAATTTCGTTTGTAACCTTAGAATAATAACGCATAGAAACCTAGCCCGCACACGCTAAGTGAGGCAAATTGTAAGGCCCTATGGGCCTACACGAGCGAGCGGGCTGTCAGTGCTCAAGGTCAAGTTGCACCGCGAGCAGCTCAAAAATTTTTGCTATAAATGACGAAATGTGCGGTAAATGAGTGTAAAAATACGTCAGACAAACATAAAATAGATACTAACATCACATTCCACAAGGAAGTAACGCGTTTCAACTTGTATTTTTATATAAATGTTCATTAAAACCGAAAATTAATTTCGTTGCAACAAGACACGAAAATATTGCAAAGTAACGGATTTCTTTCTTCCAATTTTTGCTATTCTGTTTCATAATTTTTTGAGAATAGGCAATATCGCGACGGCTGCAGATTTTTTTTATTCTAATGTAAGTGTGCATTTCACCTCCATTTCTGCAAGTTGAATGCGTACAAATGTTGTTTACAAAGAGCAACCCCTAGAGTTTCTTGCTCATACTTCTCGGAGGAATCTGCCTTACGAATGAGGTAGAGTTTAACCAATGTGACGATTTCAAGTGTAATTATGCTTACCTATTGTTCACGTGCACGTGACGTAAACAGACAACCTGACCGGACATTTGCTAAGTGATGACAATAGACTACTCAGCAGTGCAATGACCGTTCTGAACTAGGCTGCTGAGTAGAGTAGTTAACTTTATGTATACATTTAAAAATAATATTGTTTATAGTCACACACACTTAAATACCGTTTTGTATAAATAGCTTAAGTTTTGTAAATAAAACTCTCTTTGAATTCAGACATCAACGCTGTCTTATTGACAACGGAGCACTCCTGACTACAGCATCCTCTCACTGCGGCCAAGACACCTTTAGCCGTTAGCTTATCTGATCAGTCTTGTGAGTCTGTGAGACTGGCAGTGAGAAAACCATTTCCTAAAGCACCCTTATCCTTCCCCCTTTCCGTCTGTTGCCTTAGGTCGCACGGTGACAGGCTTCCCCTACTATTTATATAAGTATATATTCCGTAGCGTATGGTTAGGGCTAGGCTGTTAGGTAGGCAACTAGGGTTGTTAGTGATAGTACAGCTTTCCCTGACCACTCATGTATAGCCAGCTAGCTACAGCTAGGTAGTTGACTGTACACCTATCAAATAAAGATTATTTTGATTTGATTTTGATTCTGGGTATCGTTTACGAGGTATTTGGGGGTGCTCATTACGAATATAGCACTTATTTCTAAATCCAAGATGGCGGAC